TTTTTCTGGATGCAGCACATTCCAGTTTGAGATTAAAAAACAGATTTTTCTGGACTCAGCACGTTCCAGCTGGAGATAAAAAACTGGATTTTTCTCAACTCAGCATGTTCCAGCTTGAGATTAAAAACTTTGAGAATTTCATTAAATCCGAAGGCAAACAATATCCCACCAAATCTGGCTGAGAATTCCAGCCCAAAAAGCGGGAAGCACAACTTGAGATTAAAAGCCAGATTTTTCTGGACTCTGCATGTTCCATTTTGATATTAAAATCAGATTTTTCTGGACTCAACATGTTCCAGCTTCAGATTAAAAACCAGATTTTTCTGGACTCAGCACATTCCTGCTTGAAATAAAAAAACAGATTTTTCTGGACTCGGCACTAAAGCCCAATAGGATTTCTGGAGAGATCCAAGGACTGGGATCAACCCCTCAAAATCCACCCCAGAGTTTCCTGGAGGAAGAAGAGGATGAAACTCTTCCTCCCCTGCCAAGGCACTCAATGCCAGAGCTCATTTGCATTCGTTAACAAGTGTTAATTTTGACATCTGTCAGTGAAGCCCAGAATTGCTGCTGGGATGATCCCAGATTTCTGGGTCAGGCTGGAGGACTCGTTTTCCCTGCGCTGGGAATTTTACCGGCACTTTGGAGTGGAAATTTTGGTGCAGAACCAACTGCAAAGTGCCAGACGCGTSGGGGCAGCGCCCGGATTGCAAAATCTGAATTTCAGCTCCGTTCACGCCTCGGGTGCTGCAACCCTGTGGGGTTYGGCATCATTTCCTGTAGCCCCAACTGCCCCAAAACCTGAAATGTTTCTGTTTTAAGAGAAAAAAAGTATCACGGGTGTAGCTGCAAAGCACAGACAGAAATGTCCCATAAAACCTGATAAAAACCCTACCAAAAAAACCTAAAAACCCACAAAAACACAACCAAAAAACCCAAAAAAACAAACAAAAACAACCCGAAAAATCCCTCCAAAACCCCCAAAAAACTCAACCAAAAAAAATCAACCAAAAAACCCCAAACAAATAAAATCTCAGGTAAATAAAACATTAAAACCCCAAATTATTCCCAACTTTCCCCAAGTCCCTCAGCTCCAACTTTCCTTCTGTGAATGAGGCTGATAATGGACAAAAATATTCCAAAAATTAGGAAAATATTTTTTAGGAAGCTGAGGGAATTGGAGCATGAAGGAATGAACTTGGAAGATGAATCCATCTGGAAAGGAAAATTCCAGGATGAGAGGGAGGAAATCCTCACCTTTCCAACAAATGTGAGATCTTCCGTGAAGTTCCCTTCGTAGATGGAGTCGTCTTCCAGGAGCAGAATTCCAGACCCCTTGGGATGAAAGAAAAGTGGTGAATTCGTGGAATGAACTTCCCACTTCCTCAAATCCATCCAGGAAAAAAAACTGGCTTGGAATTTTAATGGGCTGGAGATTCCCAGAA